TTACAAGCTTTTTTATGATGTGGCTCTGAACCTTTGTCCATTCACATTATGACAATTTGCCCTCTTTTGTTATAGCTGCTGTACAAGTTTTGCATGTGTCATTCGTAAATGACCGTCAGTGCCACTGATCCACTGTTTTTATCCCTTGACTCCTCGGTAAAATGAACGTGCATCTACGGTACAGGGTTCAGGGAAAACAGTGAGGGAGAAAGTTTTGAGTAACATTTATACTGGCATGACTTGACTCAGTGGTGGCTGGTCCTGGCACTCTAAATTCCTCGTTGGCCAGGGCCACAGTGACAGTTGGTGTCAGCTTCTGTCACAAGCGCTGCATGGGCAGCCACGAAACTGTCAGAGAGCAAGAAACCGAGAGAGCGAGAGAGAGTGACGGAGTGAATAATAGAGAGACATGATATCCGAAAGGAATCGCACAGAAAAAAGGTGAGCAGACAACTCATTGCACAACGAGGCAAGAAAAGGGAAAGATGAAAGGCTTTGACTTGAGTAAAATTAAGGGTGATGGGTAGAAAGGGAAATAGAAATACAAAAGTGTGCTGAAGTGGGAGGAATTGGACAAGCTGAAAAGCGAGTTATACAGGTTGAGCCTTTGAATCACTGATCTTGAGATTAGAGAAGAGAATGACATTAGCTCGGGCTCTGATTTTTCTTTTGTGTGGCGAGCCTAATTGGAAAAAAAAATAACCTCATTTTCAGTCTCGTATTTTAATGAAAACCCGACATTAAACTCACTGTAGCTAGACAGGATATAGTTGTTTATTTACTGCATTAATTTGCTTTATTACAGTAGCTGTGGAAGCTGTACAAAAGGTAAAAGCATTTCAATTCAAAACCATACGGCAACACAACTTATTGTAATGGCACATCAAACCCTACCTTAGCAGCACTGTGTATAGACCCTGTGCACGAGAAAATGCTAACTTCCTGGTTTGAGACCGGATGTGGGGTTGTATATTTCCGGTAGCTTTACTTTGCGGTCAATCGCTACTGCGAAGATATACTCCAAAATCATGTCCAAAACTCGAAAACGGAAAGATCGCGTTAAGTTACAAAGAGCAGAAGGTGGGAACACTCGCCACTGTTGTCATAAAAAATCTAATGATCAATTTTGACGTTTAAAGAGTTTAGATCAATCAGTTGTTTACATCACTCAACACAAGCAGAACTGCATTACTGCAGCAGAAGAGACATCGTCCACATTCAGAAGCACATCTCTGTATAGTGACTGGTCTTATGATTTAAACAGGCAAATGTTCAGCATTCAAACTACAGGTGAAGAATAGTCAAACCAGATGTTTCCCCGTTATGTCGATATCAGCTAGTCAAGTACACACCTACACAGCATGTTAACAAACCGTGAAAAAAGCCACACAAAAAATGAATGATTGCTGGTAAGGGTTTCTATACATTAGTATGTATGAAGGGTATGTTGTGACTTACCTTAAAAATTACAGTGGTCCCTCGCTAATAACGCGGTTCACCTTTCACCTCGCTGTTTCGCAGATTTTTTAGTGCAAGTTTGCATGCTTTTTTTTTTTTTACGTCACATTGTGTCCTGCGTCCTGATCGCTGCAGACGATCTCCTCCGTGACGTCTCTCCTGTACAGTACAGAATCGCTGCATCGATCGCTAGCGGTGTGACTCTGAAGTGCTGTACTGTATGTACACGAAACGTTTTGCACCGTCAAAAAATAAAATTGGCTACTTGATTTCACCTATCGCTGGTTATTTTTAGAACATAACACCCGCGATAAACGAGGAGAAATATAACATTTGAATCCATTTTCTCTTTTGCTTTGAGGCGCGGGGAAAAATATCAACAAGTCGATGAACATCATTTATAGATATATTGGGTAAATGCCCAAGACATCTATAGAAATGTAAATCACCGCTTGATTCATTCATTTGCTTAACTTGTTTTGGACCGTAAACCAGGAGCGAATAGGACACAGGAGTTTCCGCACCGGAAGTAGCATATGCTAACGTGCACAGAGTCAATTCGTCTCCAGTGTTAGTGTAATTGGGATCTACAATCCAGTCCAATTCATACTTAGATTGAGAGAACATCCCATTCAGCTGTAAATTTTAGAAAATGAATGTAATTCGTTTTACAGTGTGGATCATTTAGCAGAAAATTCCAGCCTTAATGGTCTGCACAGTGATTGTCACGGGACATACCCTCCCAATTAGAGAGACTCTTGACCTTAAACCTTTGAATTTTATCACAGCCCAAGAAGGCAGAAGATGGTTCTGCTGTGCTTGACTCCACCTTGTATAATCCCCCAGAGCCTCCTCTCTCTCAGGCCTGGCAGGAGCCGCTGACCTCTCCTTTGTGACTGAATTAATCCACGGGCCTGAGAATAATGGCTGTGTCACAGCCACCGGCAGGATGTGGCAGGAGAATAATCAGCCCACCACCGTGCCATTTCAATCCCCGCGGCAATGATCGCTTCTGCAAAGAAGAAGAAACAAATGTAAAAAAAAATCACGTTGCTCGGCTCATTCACCGGCACGCATGAATGAGAATTAAAGGTAACATCCCTTAGAGGTGTAGCAGACAGGCACACCTCAGTGATCACTTTAGATGTTTCCTTCTTGTTTGTGCCAGAGGAGGGTTTTTTTTTCTTCTTTTTTTTTATTCCTTTCAACCCAGAGTCTACATTAACATGAAAATCATCATCATATTTAACAAGGTGGGGATTTGGATGGTGGCTATTTGTGTTTGGTTTACACATATTCAGAAATCCCGCATCCTATCCTCTTAAAATGTTTAGGCAGATATAGCTTTGACATGTTTGTCCAAAGTCTTTTCTTGCAGTCGCTCTTTGAGAATTTACAATTGTACTTTGGGGCGGTCTGCGCAGCTGAATTGCATATTGTCAAAGCCGAGCATCACTGGCCAGCTGAGACCAAATGACAGTTTCTATTCAAAGAACGCAGAATAGCTCCCAATTGAGGTTGAAAGCAAGAAAATGCGGGCACCTTTTTGCCAGAAGAAAAGCAGAAATGCAAATCTTTGTTTTGTGTCGTGTGAAGCTGTTCTGGAACTGTTGCTCGAGCACTGTGGATGTTTGATTTCGATCTACAGAAGTGAACGTTTTTTATGTTAAAAATCACACTTTGTTCAACCCTTGTTCCCAATCTGCCGAACGTTCCAAAGGGGAAACTTTTTTGGGGTTCGATGAAACCTGCATCCCTTGTGCAGTGGAGGAAGCTTGTTCCGGATATGAAAAGCCAGGGTCACTTTGTGACCGACGCGGGCTAAATTTCAAGCAAGCGAGCCCCTTAATTAAGCCAACAGATGTGTTTTGTTGCAATCGGGAAGCGCTGTGATGATGCGCCTGCTTGAAAGTATGCATAAAACAATCCACACTTGTCATTAAGGTCAACATTCGCTCTGCTTGTGTTCACCCACCAAGCTTTTAATCACGTCCCGTGTGAATATTCTCATGTTCCACAAATACATAGTGTAGGTGCACTAATGAGCTGCTGTTAAAGATTCAGCTCCCGGTGTGACAAGTCTGCTAGCAACCACCCACAGTAACCACTGTATTATTCCTCTACGCAATCACCTCGTATGTGCATATCCCTTTTGTATTTTCTTTTGCGATGAAAAGTGAACCCAAGCTAACCGGTATTTTAAACTGCCGTGACTGGTTAGCTTTAAAAAAAAAGAGAGAAAGAAGTGTTTCGAAATGACCTTATTCCCACATGAACAGCTGGCAAAGGGGAATGGCTGAACAAGGGAGTGGATTATTTCTATTTTTATTTGCCTCTGCTTCTTTCTTAGAGAGCGAGGAGAATGAGCGGAGAATGGTGGGAGAGTGGCATCAGCAGCGAGCCGCTCTCTCGCTTCATGCTTTAGTGAATCTGACGGGCAAAACGCCTACATACGTTTACTAGAGGGCTCTTCCTGCTGACAGCAGCCCAATGTAATTCTTGGTGTGTTTAGACTGCTGTTCCTTGTCGTGACACTCATCCTCTATTTGCATCTGCTTGATTGTCTCTTCTGAAACTGGCTTTCTAGCTTGTGAAATAACACACCTTAATGTGCAGGATTTGACACAATGAGCTCTATTTTTCATGTTTTGCTTTTTTCTTTTTCCTTCATTGCTCATTTTTCGAGACTTCCTCCCAGTGGCCCTCCGAAATCAGATAGTGCCTCCCAGTCCTCCAGGTCTTATAACTGAATCACTCTTCGCCAAACTCAATTGAGTCACCTCCTCCCACAGAGGCGGGACAAGCCTCCCACTGCACGTGGGTTCCCTCATCTCAGTGTACTTATACAGGGGTTGGTGTAGCAATGAGGTGAACTCAGTCGACCCTCTTCAGAAGATCAATATGTAGTGTGTGTTTGATGGCAGGGACTTTTTGAATTTCAAATAGATCTTCATGATCAAACCCTTCACCAACATATACTGGGGTCCATTATCTTGAACACCATGACGTTAGTCATGCATTTTCTATATTATTTGCAGAACATGAGAAAACCTTCCATTTTCGGGGAGGAGGGCAGCCATAGAAACATTGAGAAACACTGGTGATTGAGTGAGGCAAGTCAAAAGAGATCAGGGAGCACAGTCTTCAGTAGTGGCATGGAGAGGTGTGCTCAGAACTTAATTCTGATCTAATTGTAATTATGTAAACCTGACCCTTTCCGTGGTGGCACGGTGGTTAGCACTGTTGCCGCACAGCAAGAAGGTCCTGAGTTCAATTCCACCATCAGGCCGGGGTCTTTCTGTGTGGAGTTTGCATGTTCTCCCCGTGTTTGCGTGGGTTCCCTCCGGGTACTCCGGCTTCCTCCCACCGTCCAAAGACATGCAGGAGTGAATGTGCGAGTGAATGTGAGCGCGAATGGTTGTCTGTCCCTATGTGTTGGCCCTGCGACAGACTGGCGACCTGTCCAGGGTGTACCCCGCCTCTCGCCCTATGACAGCTGGGATAGGCTCCAGCGCCCCCCGCGACCCTGAAAAGGATAAGCGGAAGCGAATGGATGGATGAACCTTTCCGCATCCAGCAATATTAGTGAAGTCTGAAGTTAGCCTTTGCCATCAAAAATAATACTTTTTTTTACCTTTAAATTCAATGCACTACATACTTTTGCATGCCATTGCCAAATCCCCTGAGATCCGTTGTCAAGTCATTTCTATTTACAAGCGTAAAGTGAAACCTCACATGTGCCCAAATGTCACACAGAAACACTCCAGTCTGTCAGAAGCCAGAGCCTATTTGCTCTGACAGAACAGTGCTAACCATTGCACCAGTGTACCACCTACAATATAATTGCATGTGCCAATGAGGTTCTGTTTGTTTTGGGGAATGTTTGTGTGCATGTAGATGTGTCATTATGTCTGTAAACATTGAATTGAATTGAAAGCCTTTATTGTCATTATACATAATATAACGAAATTGGAAACAGTGCACACGTGCTTATAGCACATTATAAAAAACTACACAATAATATAACTATACACTATACGATAATAGTGTAAACATGGATTCTGATAACTTTAACTTTTAAACTTTAATTTGGTGTAAAAGTAGGTCCAAGGTCTTCAAGGTCAGCCTAATGATTTAATGTTTGAAATTGACAAAAAAGCCTCATAACTTGAAGTATGATTCGTACTAGTGTGGTATTTTCATCATATTGAAAGTCCCATGTAAAGATTTAAAATATCAGATCAGATATGACCTTTGACCTCTACTTCTAGGTCAATAGAATGATGTGAAGATCAAAGCTATAATAATGCTATATAGACCAATTTAATAAAGCGATATTTCTTAATGCCATTGTTTGTATTGACAACATATAGACATATGATATGTGGAGATTCTAAATATCACATTGGACCTCTGACCTTTTCTTCAAGGTCAAATGAGGTCAAACTTTCATAAAATGTCTTTTATGAAACAGGTGCCTGCGTTTTTAATGGCAACAATTATTTTATGCTGACTTTGTTATGGAGATTGCAATTACAAGCTAGAACCCTTTAAATACAAAACACTCATCTTATTTTAATGGAAAATAAAATAAACTCAATATCAAAAATGTCTTTCACATGATAATCATTACTACACTTAAACAAATGTTACTAAACAATGACATGAGTGCTACACATGTACTATAGCCCCTTAAAAACTATAATAATTATACTTAAAATTATGTCAAGTATTGCACTACAAAATTCTTAAACATTAAAAATATTTAAAAAAAAAAAAAAAAGAATATATGCAATATACAGTATGATTCCTTTAAAACTGAACACTGCCCAGAGACTGCCTTGGTGGAGGTTTGCGGTTGTTATTTACAATAAGTGGTGGATTCATGGATGTAGTTAGGGAGGACTGGATATTAGGAATACTGTGAGATGGAGGCAGATGATCCTCTGTGGCAACCCGTAAAGGTAAAAGTCAAAAGAAAAAGAAGAAGCAGAACTCTAATGGGATTAGAGAATTTAAGAACAGTAATGCAAGTGATTGGCTGGGTGACATACTCACAGGTTTGTCAGTGTGATTCCTGGTCCTGGTCCTTTACATGTTAAGCCATCCTTTAGCTAAGGTCAGTTGCAATGACCTTGCGTGTGATCATATGAGAGTGAGTGGTAAATGGACTGGTACTTTCTATTTTCACTCAGCACTCAGACTATTTTCAGAGGGGGCATTCATTCATTCATACAAAGCTTTAGGCTGTGCCTTAAGCTCTCTTTACCTATCAGGCAAACTGTCAGACTTCGATAGATACATCGGGGCTAATTTGGAGTTCAGTGTCTTGCCCAAGGACGCTTAGACACACAGACTGGAGGAACCAGGAACGAAACCAGTGACCTTCCAATTAGAAGCTGACCTCCTGAGCCACATACGGTCGCCGTCGCTTGCCCCTGTGTGTATGTGTGTGAACATATGACACATTTGTAAAGTCCTCTTTAGAATCTGAGGTGTAAAACGTGTAATAGAGGAGCAGGCCATCAGCCCTGTATTGCGTTTCAGGAAAATCTGAAGTGATTAGCTAGTGACGTCACCTAAAAACGGCCCTTTTCTGTCGACTCCGAGGACGTAGTTTGGAAAGTTCTCAGCGAAGCATTGCAAAGCGACACTAAAGTGACAGCACTGGCATCTCATGAATATATATTTAATTAGCTTGTCTGTATGCAGAAAAAATGGTTGGTCATTATAATTGGCCTTATTAACCTGATCATTTGACTGGAACCTTTCTGTCTTGATGGATGACCTTATTAATACCTAAAAGAAAGCTGCCACATTCCTCAGAAAGAAAGAAAAAAACTCACTCAAGCGACCCATTTACGGTGTCAGCGATGCTCTTCTTCTTCTTCTTCTTCTACCTTTGTAGTGCAATTTTACACCTGATCAACACATCATTAGCAATCTAGGCTGGCATACAGACTGACGAGGTGATGGATTGACACCTTGATTGTACTTATCCGAGCATCAGTTTTAATTAGAAGATTTTTGATTGACACTGTTTGAGAACTTTTTGGCGCTTTTTTTGTGTAATAAAATGGAAAAACTTTTTTTATCATGTCTGGGTAAGGTATGAATATTATCCCCAATCCCTGAAGCGCACTGATGCCACCATGTTGAGAAACAGGTTGCAGCCCGATGAGAAGAGAAAGGATAAAGGAAGGAAATAGAGGAACAGAAATGGTAGGGTGACAGAGATAAGAAAATATAAGGCTAATAGATTAGTCACAGGACTCAGGCGTGCTGAGTGAGTGGGGGATAAAAAAGAAACAAAATAGCAATGAAATGGTCAGAGCTTCTGTATAATTTCCAGTGGAGCATGATTCTGTTTTGAGAAAGGGAATGAGGATAAGGGCATTATCTTGCACCTATGCTTAAAGGCTGGCTTCCCCCCTTATGTTTCCATAAATACAAACACAATATCCAAGAAAATTGGATTTATTCTGTCACAGTGTGAGGCTGCACTTTACTGCACAATCTGGAATAGAAATCGTTTTGGTGATGGAGGATAAGGGAGACAAAGGTCATGAGACAATACCAAGGTTGTACCAGAGCGTGTTTGTCTGAGAGGTACTTTGGGATGGCGGTGGTGTATTTTTATGTGCTGGAGATTTTATGCTCTAAACATTGGGATCTGCATGCCGACCTGCTTTTGTGTGCTTCTCGATGCACTCCGATGTCATTTGGAGAGTCTCTTTCCCCACATTTGCCATCACCTTTGACATCTAGACACTCTGATTGCAAGGTAACAATTGAAAACTCAAATTGGAGCCCTGTTGTTCGACTCCCCTTATTTCTATCATAGCTGGTGATTGCCTTGCCACTTGGGGCTCTGTGCTTTTCCTTCTGGTAACTCATCTGCCCTCTGACACAGCCTCGATTGTCTGTCTGGCTTCACGAGTTTGGTGATTGATTTGTGGAACATATGGTCCTTTAGGAATATTACTACTACATAAGGCAACTTCATACCTTCTTGTTTTGACTTTCTGTCACTTTTCCCTTCACATTTTTCTTTGGAGTGCTGTATCCAAGAGGGCATCTGGGTTTTCTGGACCAGTTGTTTTGAGAATTTGGTTAAGAAATACAGAAGAATATAATATTTTACCAAGGTTGCTAGTTCTTTTTGAGGGGGCATTTAAGATCCTTTGACTTTCGCAGTATAATTTGCACTTGTCATTTTAATGGTACTGGCCATTATTACGCGGTTACAGAGATGTTTCACATCATCTCCGTGATCTCAAACATGATACTGCACTTGATCTACGTCAAATGCCAAATTTGATGTAGATTGTATGAGGAGTTGTTGAGATAGGCAAAGAACACCCAGCTGAAAACATGCATAATCTTTGACTGAATCATTTGTTTTCTTACTCTTAGCAAATTCATGGTTGCGGTTTGGACTGGAGGCTATTTCAGATGTCACAGGTCCAATTTCTGAAATTCGTCTCCATATGAATGACCAGTTAAGCTACCAGACGTGTCTGTGGGAAGCCGCAGAGATCCAGCATGCAGACTCCACATGGAAAGACGAACCCAGGACTTTCTTGCTGGGAGGCAATGGTGCTAACCACACAACTGTGCTGCCCATTTTGATTTACTAATTACAAGATTTATAGCAAATCAGAATCTGTTATGATCCAGCCACTGCTGAAGTATCTCTGAGTTATGAGCAAGCTTCCTCTCTTGTTCGAATTCATTGTTTCCAGTGACAAAGACGTGACAAGTTGCATTTTCTATCAGAGAAGTGTAGACCTAATGAATGCAGACACCTCTTTCCTTTTGGGAGCTACACAACCTGAACATGGGAGCTTTTTGACCTGTTATCGACCTTGCCTTAGGCTCTATCATCATTAAAAGCGTTTGACAAAAACAGTTTGTGTCTTTCACAATCACAAAGACTACCTTCATTAGTATTTAGAGCTCTGATCTAAAATATTTATGGTTCTAATAAATGCAAGTAGCTCAAGAAAGTTAGGGGGGCTAATATAAAATTATGGTAGAAGGAAGTAAAGTAATTCTGTACTTTTAAGAAATATCACTTTGATGAAATTTCATGCCAGTCCTCTTAGGGCTTTCTTTAAAAGCAATGGCATTCATTTAGCAAGTGCCCTAAGGGCAGCTTGCATATTTTCTCCACTCTGATACAATGTGAGCCACAAAAACCAACATGCAATAAGACCGGAAAACAGCAAAGTTTTTAATGACAGGCAGTATGTGTATGGTGTTTACTGTAATGCTAATGGGCTTGTTAATAAGATCCAGAGGCGAACTGTAGCAACCCATATATATGAACACAAACAGTGTTTCATTCTGCCTAGTAGCCACAGGGAGATAGAGAGCCAGTGGTGGTGAAATGAGCAAAACATGCTATTATGGCCACCTGCTAGATAAGATCATCTTGCCTTTTCGTGCTAATTAGCAGAAGATTTCACATCTGTCTGAAACAACGCATCTGTGCATTTGCATGTCGCCACATAACACGTATGCATCCGTGACTGCAGAGAGAGAGTGAGTGGTCCGTCACGGCCGCCTCAGCCCAATGCGCAGCAGCTTAAGGATGGGAACCTAAATCGCAAAGCAGCCAGTGAGCAAAAAGCAGAGATACAGAGAAGGTGTGCGGGAAAGTGGTGAGATAATAGGTAGCTGTGGGTTGTGCCTGAGACTGTACATGTGGCCTGAGCCTGTATGTCGGTACGATTGGATATGGTTGGCTGAGTAGAACCGACGCTCTCCTTTTCTATCCTCTCCTCTGCAGCATGAAAGCAGGCTTGTTATGTAGAGGGACAGATACATAGAGCAGGGGACTGAGGGAGGCAGCATTGGCAGTCATACAGGTATGTTTTGACAGACTTCAAAACAACTTCAGATGAATCCACAGGCAAAGTTGGCAACAAGTATTTCACAGGAGCATTGCTATATTATGCGAATTAAAGATCCAGATACTATGAAAGCGTCCTTGCTGCACTGGAGGAAATTAATCTTTGTAATAGCGTTGCATTGTAGCTCTTTTCCAGCATTCAGTGTTCCCAGTAAAAGGTTACTGCTTTGCTTTCAATCAAGTGCTTATTCATTGTCAAGGTCCTACAGCAAAAATGCTTTCACTTTCTTACATAATAAAAGGCTACCAACTGACACTAAGACAGGAGAAACTGACATGGTCACCTGTGCTGCCATAAGATTGCTGCACAGTATGGCATTAAATCTCCACTACTGCTACTCTACTGGAACACAAGCTTTCCAAGAAATATTAATGCATGTGTGTTTTGATGACTGTGGTTGACTGTGATGTTGTGCACATTGTTGTGGGTTCAGATCTGGTGACTGTCAAGGTAATTCAGCAGGTCATTCAATGTCAATGAGGGTGCCTGGTGTTCTGCGATGTATTGATATTGATATTTATATTGATATACCTTTATTAGTCCCACAAGTGGACTCAAAGCATGCCATGCCAGTAAAGCATAGCCCACAGCATAACAGAGCCACCAGATCCCCATACTGACCCATATGGAAAAGATATATATAAATCTTATAAAGTTTGTATCTGTCTTGTGTGAAACTTGTATGAAAAGCATATAAGTGTGAAAACACATATAAGATCCCTTGAAAAATTATATAATGAAACTTGTATGTTATGGATACTTGCTAAAACAATGTATGAAAGTAATGCGAAAGTGGCCACTTTCATGAGTAATCACATATAAGTTTTTTACTATTTCTTTTCCGTATGGGGAGCTAGCTTCAATTGTTAATATCTAATCAGCCAATCACATGTCAGCAACTCAGTACATTCAATCATATGGATATGTTTAAGATGACCTGCTCATGCTCCACCTGAGCATCAGTGAAGAAGAAAGGTGATTTAAGTGATTGTGAATGTGGCATATTTGCTGGTGCCAGACAGTCTGGTCTGAGTATTCTAGACGTTTTTTGCATATAAACATTTGCAGGGTTTACAGAGAATGTTGGAAAAAAGCAAAAGTGAGAAACATTCCTCAGGATAAAAATTATAAAGGCCAACTCCTTCAATGGTAACTTAACCACTTGTTACAATCAAGGTATACAAATGAGCACCTCTAAATGCACAGCACCTTGAACCTTGAAGTCAATGGGCTACAGTAGCAGAAGACTGCACCAGGTCTCACAATTTGCTCTCATCTTAGAACTGGAAACTAAGACTACAGTTCACACAGGATTATCAACTTGGACAATTAAAAGTTGAAGAAACACCAACTGGTCTGATAAGTCTTGATTTCTGTTGCGAGATTTGGTAGGATCACAAGTTTACACAAACAACGTGAAAGCATGGATCCATCCCCCCTTCAATCAACAGTTCAGGCTGCTAGTGGTGATGTGTTGGTGTGGAGGATATTTTCTTTGCATACTTTGGGTCCTTAATACCAACTGACATCATTAAAATGCAACAGTCTGCCAGAGAACAAAGTAGTTTGGGCAACTGTGGCTCAGGAAGTAAAGCACGCCTATCTACTGGAAGAGTATGCCAAATTATCCTTGAGAAAGATACTGAACCATGTGCATCCTTGTGAGGGTGTGCATACATGTTAGCCAGACTGCTAACATGATTGGGGGAATGAGGCTTATAGTAAAACACTCTTTGGGTGCCCAGAGCACGAAAGTGCTATATAATTAGCAGTCCGTGTATTAAACATGACAGTGAAATTACTGTAGACTAAATGGTCTCCATAGTCACCAGACTTTATTCCAGGGGTGTCAAACTCCAGGCCTCAAGGGCTGGTGTCCTGCAGGTTTTAGATATCATCCTGAGCCAACACACCTGAATCAAATGATTAGTTCATTACTAGGCTTCTGGAGAACTTCAAGAAATGTTGAGGAGGTAATTTAGACATTTAAATCAGCTGTGGTGGATCAAGAACACATCTAAAACCTGCAGGGCACCGCCTGTTGAGGCCTGGAGTTTGACACCCCTGCTTTGTTCTATCCAGTAGAGCAACTTTGGTCACCTTTGACCTGTCGTGTCAACGTCTCTGTCAAGATATATATTATATATTTTGACAGAGATGTATATATTAAGAACATGGATATTTGTTTTGTTGTTTTTTTCCTACCCAGGTTGCTGTGCAGATTGTATGCACAATGACCTAATGTCACTTAATTTGGGGGGGGGGCTGTGTCACAATAACCAATAAAAATACAGAAACAGGAGCCAAAAGTGCCAAAGTAAGAGCCAGATCATAGTCTTTACTTTCATATACTCACACCATCGCTCAGTCCCGTGTGCCAGTGCTCAGCTAGAGACGATGAAGCTTAAAAAAAAAAACCAATCTGCCTGTTTAGTGTTTTTGACGATGATTTCCTGCTGCAAACACCTTTTTTGTCGCCCTTTGTTAACGCCTTTGAAGAAGTGTGTAAGACATGCAGGTTCAGGTGAATACAAAACATTGTAAGTAGTATTTTATCTCCTTCCTTCTTTCGCTCTATCCCACTCGTTGTGTGTGTGTCTCTCTCGCCGTCTCCGTGGTTCAAGGGAAGAAATCCCTTCAATGTCTCCACAAAATCACACACAATTAAAGCAGAGCGTTTTTGCCTCGGGCCCTCGCTGCTCTGTGTGCTTAAAAAAACCTGCGCGCGCGCACACGCGCACACACAATGAAGTAAAGGCCCAAACCACATATACACCCCCACGCGTTCTTATATGTACAGCCGCACAAACAAACACACAAAAGCATGTTCTCTGCGGTGCACTTATTTGGCCATGGCTTTAATGGGGCTTCTTCTTCTTTTCTTTTTTTTATTGAGTACAGGATTACAGAATCACATCCCTCTCTCTCGCTTCCAGCTGATTGGACACTCTCCACTCTGTCAATCAAAGACTGGATTTATCCTGCTGCTAAATGCAACGGTGCGTTTAGCCCGCTTCAGTCTGCTCTAGATTTAGTCACACCAACTTAGCTGCTGGCAAGTTCCTGCACCCTGCTGTACCGCTTCCAGATGTCGCTGAATCATGTCACAAGGCCAGCTCTGTCAGCTCCTCCTCGGCTGACCTTAATCACTTCCATTGAGAAATCCAGTGATTGAGACACGAGGCAGCTTCTGTAAAACTTGTGAAATAACTTGCCCTCTCTTGTAATGAATCCTACTTTTCTTGCCGACAGCTCCTTACCTCAACACGTTTTTAATATTATGGTCTTCATGTTAACCAGGCCTTCCCATGGCATCTCCCTGTGGCTAATTAGCCTTGCATGAGCAACACAAGCACATGGCTAATTTAGCATTTATTTCTCCATCACTGTTTCTTGCACTGTACTTTACACATGCTGTTTACATGCTCAATTAAACTGTGGACTTCACCACAAAGCTTTGCTAACATGCCAGCACCATCCCTGTGTTTAGCTGCAGTTGTAAAGCAATCCCTCTGTTTTTCTATTTGCTGTAAATGTGGTTAATATGGACGGGGGCACTTGAAGTGATTCGAGTCAACCACTTAACGGCTGAAGAACACTCACTCGTGTTCTGTATGACCCCTCGCTCTCTCAGACGCTCTCTTGGCTGAATTTTCATCCATTTTCAGTGTCTTTGCTCTGCCATATGATGACAGTTGTCTATGATTCACATGGCACTTGCAGAACTACCTCGCTGACTGACCCTCGGCAAGCACCTGTACTGAAAACCATTTAACCTTCACCCTGTACTCCTAAAGAGCTAGAGCTGTGGGGTTTTTTAAAAAAAACAATTAAAAACAAGAAACAACTGCAAAGCATATACTGTTTTTTTGTTTTTTTGGTTTATGCTCAAAGGCTTAAAAGTTGTCTTTTCTGAAGTTCCCACATTTGTACTAGCTAGCTAGCTACTCACTCTTTGGAAAATCCCCGAAAGCTTCTTTTCTTTCCAGGACTCGTGGACCTGTGATTATACCACCTGGGAGAAAATGCAACACTAGTCTTTCACTTCACTAATTTTTGGGACTTTAGATCCATTCACCCTTAATGGTGCATCTAGCTTTGCCTTTTGGACTTAAAAGAGAATTTGTGCTATGTTAGAATGCGGGAGGAAGATTGACAGTGACAGAGCTGCTTCCTGTTACATTTTATGAACATTTGTTGCACTTTTGACCACATGCAATGTCAAATTAATTTACAGTAAATGCCTTAATCATACTGTGTGCAGTGGTTAGCAATGCCACCTCACAACAGCATAGTCTGGGTTAAAATCCTGGGTTCTCTCTGGTTATTTTAGCATGCTCCTGTAGTCCAAAGACTTACTTGAGTTAGGTGGACTGGCAATTTTTAATTTGCCAAAGGTGTGAAAGTGAGCGTGAATAGTTGTCTCTCTGTGATAGCCTTCTGATAGACTTTTGAACTATCCAGGGTGGACAGTACCTGGACAGCTGGGATAGCCTCCAACTACCCTGTGACTCTGAACTAAATAAGTGGAAGTAAATAGATAGATGGATGGTATCTGATTTACCAAATGAGAAAGATTTTCAGTCTGCAACTATCGGTTGTCAGTTTTTGCTATTGCAAAAATGAGATTACCAAGTGACACAGTCATTAAAACCTGTCCTAAATGCTGAATGCATCTGACAAAATCAAGTCTTTGTACTCCCACAAACTGAATGCAAACATGTGGGCTACTGTGCTATTACAGGTATTTCTCTGTGAGATAATGAGCCGTTGCAGTCACACATGAATCCAGGCTGTGAAAGCCACGTGCCCAAAGTTAGTGGAGCATTTTCTACTGTACTCAACTTTCCTGAGCTTCATGCTACATTTCAGTGCCAAGCTGTGTCCAAGAAGAAAATGTTGCATTAGTGTCACATACATGGGTACCTGGGACCATTATCCTCTGCTTGCCAATACCCTCTAAATATCTTTAGGAGGGTATTGGCAAACACTATAAGTGGGAGAGGATAATTTGTTCTTAATTTTTCACAAGAAAGTTATGATTCATTTTTTAAAATTAGGTTGTATTTTTTCAGTAGCCCTCCTGAGTACTATGACCAGCCAGTTGTGTGTATTAATCTGGCAACTCTGAGGCAAACATTGTGCTTTTTCTCACCTTTGTTGCCGAGTTCAGATACCATAACTGATGCTGGAATTAATCATGTCTCATTGTTGTTAGGAAAGCTGGCGAGTCATGTATAGTATTGACCACCTCTGACACATTACAAATGGCAATCAATGGTTTTGTTTGTTGTCTTATTTTGCTTGTCTCCAAAGCTTCTCAAAGGAGCTAATAATTGGCGCTGATAATTGCTACCAGGCACATAACGTATTGACCCAAGCTCTGTAATAAGCCGGTTGAATGCAGCCGAAAAACATTCCATGCCGGAAAATTGATATAAATAGCATGTCTCTTTGTGTCCCCTCCAGGCGAGACAGTGTTGAGTAAACAAATTCTCCCATCCCATGCTATATTCCAAATCTCGTCAGCATTCTCATTAAAATGTCAATGTATAGCCACCGTGTGGACTCTATGTTGTGCATTCTAGCTCAAAAATGCCAACTGAACACTAATGTTCCCCAGGTTCGACTTAATTATATGATTCACACCTAAGATTCCAGCAGCATGGGGAGAAAAAAAATCAGGCAATTTTTCTTTTTCCCACTGAGTTTTATGAGCGACTTATTATGTGATCAATCACATACAGCAAGAACAGACCAGAATCAATTAATAATTGAAAACCGTTAAAGTGCTAGAAGCACTGATTGGAATCTGCCTTAAGTCAAAGGCAGCTGGTGCGGAAGGGCACAGGGTTAAATAGACATGATTAATCAACCTAAGAATAGCATTTGCATCCATTTGAAACAATGCGTGTGTGTGTGTGTATATATGTGTGTGTAGACAGTAGTGGTGTGTGTAGCTATACTCCAGACTAATTACACGTATGTTTGAAGTGTACTGTGCTTTCACATCAGGCAATTAGTGGCCAATTTAAACGTACTCACAGGTGTCACGTGGCTTTTATTTTGAGTGTCTTGTTGATGGATGTTCCCTCTGCCACAATGATGGCACAAAGTGGGCAAGTGAACTGCTCAGAGCTGAAAAACATTTTTCAAAAATTGAATTCTAGATGCTGGTGAAGCAACCAAACATGCTCAAACTTTAGCTTCTGTTATTTAGCAGTGGAGTCCAAAGTTAGTTGACACTAAGCACAAAAACTGTACTTTATACAAATTATAGCTCTGTGTGAAAGTGGTACAGTAATTGTTTCTACTTCAAACTCTGCAAATGGAATGGACTTTCTATTGACTTCTATTGAATTTTCATTGTGCAACACCAAAAGAAAATAATCCACCCAATACGAATGAGCCCACTAAGTCTCTGAACTTCCACCATTGACTATTTGACATCGTAACAATCGAGCTGCACTGCAGAAACGATCAAATGTATTGAAAGCTGCTTCTCTACCCCCACCATGGAAATGTGGCAGTGCCTCTTTACTGCCATCTATAGGTGGCACCCAGTTATGACAGAGTTCTCCCAGTGATAGCAGCTTGAGTGTGGCGCTGCTGTTGGTTAGAGTCATTCTCCTCAGAGAAGCTGCAGCTAATCATTGCATCATTTCCTCAATTATTGACAGCCGCCCTGTTAAGTTCCCAGTGTTATAGAGAGAATTAACATCCATTAGAGTATTATTCAGCCTTCATCTGCGTGCCTGTGTGCGCCTGTGTGTGTTTGTATCTGTGTGGGGTTTGATTTTGATTCTAACTAGACTCGCAGCTCCAAGGGCTGAGAACGAGGAGCTGAGACATGACAGGCTCATCAAAATGTCTCACGATGCCGTGTGACTACTGCTGCGTCGAGAGGCCCTGGCCTAAAATTGACCCTGTCCCCACTGAGTTGCCAATCACCGCTCATCACATTAGACATGTAGACACACTCAGCTCCACGGTGCTGTTGAGCTGCATCTCTGCTCCTGCTTTATTTTATTATTTTTCCTCCACCCGTTTTCCTCTGACACAGTCTCACATACTTCAGATACCTGCCTTTCACTGCAGCCTTTAAAAACTTTCACTGGATCGCCTATTGTGTGGTATTATAGTGCCACTTACAATGGACCAGCACTGACAAATGGCCTCTGATTGTACTTTGCCTCTGTCACTGCCACCCGCTGCAAGTTTTTACTGTCCTCCAGGCAGCATATTGCCCCCCCCGCACAATAGTCTGGTGTATCTTAGCGAGGGTGTAAAAAAGCCTTGCATGACAAGTTTTGCAAGCAAAGAAAACACCAGCATTATTGAGTTATTTGCCGATTTCTGCTCGTTTTGAGCTTTTAAAATCCCGCATTGCACTGTTGTTCAATTCATATACCATTGTCGAGAGAGATAACAGCAAATAGCATTACCTCAGGCTGAAAGGAATCCCGTTCATTGTGAGGCTGACTGACAAGCTTGTCACAAACAGCCATGTGCCTAATAGAAGGTATCAAGCCAATCTGTCTCTGAGCTTTGTGCAGCGGAATAGGCGTCTGTTGTTCTGTTGAACGGAAACTTTGAAAAGCAGTTAAAGTTGAATAAGAATATATAAACTGTTCTTTTCAGCTCTGACAATGCCTCTTATACAAGAACGAGCCAAAAACACGTCTGAGGAGCGCTCTTTTTATACGGCAAGGGTTCATGCACGTAAGCCCGACACACAAGTGATGCAAACAGATAATGTAACAGAATCTCTTAAAGAGGGACAGAAACAGCCTACTTTGCTGTGGAAGGTGATGCGTTTTGGGAGCAATTTTCTATTATTATGTCTATCCAGTCAACAAATGTGAAACTTCTTTGTGTTTTGTAGTCTCACTTGCAATAACTAATCCATTATCCGCTCTTCCTCTGTCTCTCTTTTGTTCTCTTACAGCCGCCCTGCAAGTGTCTATATCCTTGAACAAAGTGGAGTTAAGTGTCGGAGAGTCCAAGTTCTTCATCTGCACAGGTACACAAATGGCATGACTACCACCCCACCTGCACGAGCTATTCTTTTTAAACTTCTCTATACTCTTTCTTTTAAACTTTTTTTCCCCTCCTTTGGCTCTTTGTGATGTCATGAGTGCAGAATGAGAGCCAATCAGAAGAAAGGTTGGCTTTAAAAGAAAACACAATCTGATATTCGTGTGTTTGTGTTGATCCTAGCTGATTCTAGGCCCCGGGCCTTATGTTTGACACTCCTTTCCTACGTCATAACAAAGCTGGTTTAGGATCAACATTGCACTGGACCAATCATATTGTCTGAGCTTTCAGTTAGCATTAGCCAAGAAGTTAGCTAAAGCTTCACTAGCAAACCATCCTGGGTGATCTAAATTTGACTAACAGCAAACCTAACTTGATAACATATTTATTATACTGTATGAATTAACAAAGAATTTAAATGCTTACCAAATTCCTCATTGTTTTTTTCCTCAACACTCCAGAGCAACAATGTGATTGGTCAGTAGCAATGCTAATCCTAGACCGATGTTATTATGATCATTCAGGAACAATACCAACATGAGGATATCATATACACCTTAAAAGGAGAAGAGATAAAATGGCTTTCACTTCACTACAGCCCAGTATCAGATAAACAAGCATTATTTTGATTTGATGATGGTGCAAAAGTCAAAGAAGTAAAAGGAGGACGTTGAAAATGAGCATAAAGGGTCTCTTTTTAATATTATGCATATGTATTGTATCTGTGACTGTTTGGAGGCAACGGTGGGAGTCTTATATCATCGCTCATGAATGTCTGTTTTTGTGACAGATAACATAAAACAATCCATAACCTCCATATGGTGAGGGACTCTTTGACCCCACTGTGACTCAATCCACACGGGGTCGGGGGGGATGCTCCTGGCTTACCGTTCCTCCTTCTCATTGTCCTCTCTGAACATTATATCAACATAGCAGAAAACCCGATGGTGGGAGCCAGTGGCTCAGTGGGGTGGCGGCACACTCTGGCAGCCCAGGCCGTCCCCTGCTGACTGCCTCTTCTGCCCTGCCAACACACTCAGTGTGGAGCTAACAGCAAAGGGACTAGATACACGTACTGGGAGGAGCATCCAGGGGGCATCGAAGTCTAATACGGGCTTCGGTGGGACAGAAAAAAAACAGAAAAATAACCGAGGCGAATGGAATCAAACTGGCAGAGATTGAAAAGTTGGAGCTTTCACTGTGGAGAGCTCAGAAGTGAGAAGAATGGAAAAGGCTTTGAAAAAGAATTGTAGATGTAGGTGGGAGATAAGTTGCCACCATCTGCTGTCAAAGTGCACGGGAGGAGGTGTTTGTGTCACACGCTGCTTTCTTTTGGCCTTTTTCACCACAGGCGGCCACGCCAAGCCTGAGTTTTACCATATTCAAATGCATTTCTGCCAACTGAGAAACAGTGAGAGACAAGAAAAAGAGAAAGCTCAGTGAAACTGAGACCCACCCGCAAACAAGTAAAGTGACTTTTTTTTACCTTTCAGTCGCCACATAGCACCGAATGAATTAGGCCTATGTCAATATTGTGGCGAGCTCAGACAAGGAGGAGACACAATTCTATTCGGTCTTGCTCCCCCGCCCTCTTAGCCAGGGAGCACAGCCATTTATTTACATCTGCCAGAAGAACACTCCCGCTAGCTAACTGCTCAGCGCGGCAACAGCACAGCAACAACAACACACAGGGCGCCCTCTGACCCCGGAAGGACACACCGTCGCAGCGAGAGGGCGTCACCCGTCACTATGGCAACATAAACAAAACATAACTGTAAAAACAGAATCCCGAACAGCCCTGACCCGCTACAATATCGATAAAAGGAAGGATCAGAAAGGGCAGAGAGGCAATTGTGTCGTATGCTGATTCACGGATTGGAGAGCAGCAATGAGTACGTTTCTCTTTAAAAAGACAAAAAGAATGTGAGTTGAAGTGATTTGTGTATTTAATGCCTGTCTTTCTTGTTCTGAAAAGTTTGCCATGAAGAACAAGCCAGAGGGTTACTGATAGACACATTCTTTATATCAAAAGATCACAACCTCTCTTTTTTCTTAAAGACATTAAAGCAAAGGTCAAAATAAGGTCAACTATGAGTCAACGTGGTAGCCTAAAGGAAGAATCCTTTTATCATATTGGCTGAATGTCAGTGCTTTTGCATTATTCATGTCTGATCTCAAATCTTTCTTTTAAATAATTTCAGCTGAAACTTTATCAATTTCATTTATTTCAAAACGCCTCAGAAATGGCTTTTTAAGCCTTTCCACACTGATACATGGCATGGCTTTGTTTCTTAGCGGCTTCTTTAGATCGTGATTTGTGGTTGGTGTGGCAGCGGAGAATAGTAGGGAAAGGGTGAGAAGGAGGCAGATGATGATCTACTGTGCTGACAGTGGGGAAGGGAGCAGCCTATAGAAGAAGGTTTCCAACTCTCCAAACAAATTTCAAGTAAAAATGATAAGAAAACTCAGCTGCTCTGCTACGCGTGGCTGTGTAAGTGTGCATCAATTACATTTGATTGACATGGACCAACTCCATGTTGGTCCATGAAACAGCTGTTAATGCAAACTGCACAACTTTCCTAGTCGAAGGAAATGCAGTCAGCTCGGTGAGCACGTAATTTTTGAGAGTTCTGTTCTTACTTTTTTATTAGGAAAGTCACTTTAATTACTTTGGAATAAGATGTTATGCACTTTGACGCACCAGCTAATGCTTACAAACATGAAACCCAGTCTACTGTCTACAGTCATGAGCTGTGTCCTAATTCCTAGGCCACATCCTTTGAAGGACTTGGCCTTTGTGGTCTACGTGGGCCGGGTCCTTCGAAGACCAAGAAGGCCGGAAGGCTTTGAAATGGGACGGTCTAGCCTTCAGATTTGCATTACCAGCTCAGCCAAACCGATTTACTCAGGAACAAATAAAACAATGAAAAAGTCAAACATGTTAAACCTGAGTAGCGAAAGACCTGGGGTCTGAAAACGATGTGCTGGGAGTCCGGTGTTCTCGCCGGCTCTAGTGAGCCTCGACCTCCCAGTCAGCTATCGAGCTGGTGGGTAACAGATGTCTCCGAAAACGTCAGAGCACTTTTGCAAATATGTGATGTCTTGATGAGTTGAGCAGATATTTGAAGTTTACACAGCTACATTCTCGCCTGAAAATATGCTAAAAGTTTATTTTGTGACCCAGAAAGAGTAATATTAAAACTAGATAGCTGCTGCCATTGTTGGAAACTGGAATTGGCTGGCCGTGCTATGAATTCTGGGATAGGTTGGGCCATGAAGGATACACCCGACCCATCCTTCCTTGTCGGACGCATTTGGAGCAGCCTTCGTCGCCTGGCTGTAACATACTCGGCCTTCAAATGTGCCCTCTGAAGGATGCGGTCTAGGAATTGGGACACCGCTATGGTGTTGCTGCTGGCTACACTAATGTCTGATGTCTGATGTTACATTTCATATTGCATTGCAAAATGTTGGCTTTATCTTTTGAATCTTGTATAACAAAAAGGGCTTTGAAATGAATGAAACCAATTCCCACATACCCGATAAAGCTCATCAGCTAAGTTTTGGATAACTTGTTGACAGAGTCAAAAGATCTGGATCTGACTCAAGTTTGCTCCATACCTAGGGTTAGGGTTATCTATTTTAGATAATTGTGGTTTTAGGCACTCCTTCAGGGAAACTGTGAAACTGTACATGCAGTGTCTGTGTGTGTTTGTTATGGCACAGCGGTGACAGAGTTCAAGGAAAACCTTGACACTGCCTTGAGAACTTTCTTTGTCCCCACTACATTTGCCCAAGTTCCCACTGAGGCAGAGACCTGCTGGTCTTTGAAGGGTCACGGGGGCGATCTTGAAACAGTGAAACAGTAAAACACCATAAAGCCTCTTTCAGATGCATTGCTACTCTGGCACTGCTGTGCTCTGAAACCCATTATTCCCTATGGTCTGTGGCACGCATGAATGCTTTTTTACTGCATAGAGCAAAACGAAGTGCAGTCCAAGTGTGCCGTCCGGGGAGCACTCACAACTGCTGTACATTTGCACAACTAAAAAATGAAGAATTACAGGACGCAGGTGCAGATTGTACACATATATCAGAATTGGCTAGTGTGACAAAAATGTTTGGCCATGCACCCAACCTTGTAGTAAATCTTGTGCATATCACTTTATATGTGAAAGAGCCATTTCTGGTACACCCAAAGAACAGTTTGTTTGTTCCATCAGGTTTGGCATTCGAAACTAAAGATCCAACATATTTGCAAGATCAAATATGAAGACCCTGCTGTGCTGATCCTTTGTTAATAAGGGAGCGGCTAACATAAGCTATTGTAGATGTGAGGATTTTTATGCTATAGCAATGAGGACAGTGTTCAACAGCTGTAAGGTTTATACATCACTCAATAATAAATCCCAACATTTCTAATTATATTTAAAGCAGTATGACTAATATGTTTTCATGTCTTATGTAAAACAGGTTATGATTTTGTGCGATAGTTGAGGGTTTTCTCCAATAAACCAAAATGAGCGTTGGAATGCACTCTCCCTGCTCTATGAAATATTCACAAAGGGTTAACCATCCATTTATCAATGCTCAAAGTCCAATTTAGACACTTATTGTGAGGATATTTATGGCCCAGGTTAAAGTTGACTAGGATTATACTGTGAAGGGATGAAGTACGAATAATATGCAAGGGTTTAAGTTATTAGGAAAGAGCAATGACTTAAACAAGACACCTTTAAGGAGGCTGCTGGTCCCGTTTTAAATAATAATTTTATAATAAAGACTTTCTATAAAATTAATGAATATATATCAAATACATTTCCCACTTGTCCTGCAGGTGGTCTGTTTATCGTTCAAGCTCGGGTCCTCTACCAGAGGCCCGGGAGCTTGACATCAGGAACAGAAATGTTCCTGATGTCATTTCTGTGATCTGCTGGAAACACTCCGCCAGTTTGGAGACTCCTGTTGCCCTCACCCTTCACATCT